TATATATATATATATATATATATATATATATATATATAGACACACACACACACACCGTGGCTCTATATTGAATAATTCTATATATACATCTATTTCTATTTATAAATACGTATGAAATGTTTCTTGTATTTTGTAATATATATATATATATATAGACCAAGACCTATATATGTATAGTATTATGCTCGGACGTGCAAATTATTTCTTATTATCTATTCGAAGAAACGTTATAAATAACGTTGTAACGTTATAAATGTAAAACGCGACTCATCATGTATTATGAAAAACACGTTTTCAACGTGCTTGTCGCAATGGCGTATTTTTCCGATGCAATTGTTTCCTCCTGTGTTAAATTAAAACCTTCGGTTTTCACTCAAAACCGTGTAACGGTAAGTTTCGTAATTTCGAGAGAGAAAGCGTGAGAAACGCAGGCACTATAAAATTCGCGAACTTGACATAGTTCTAGAAATAATTCATCGCCCGAATATATAATTATTCCAATACCTCGATGCAGAACGTTGCATTACGATAGATATTGCAGACTATATAAAAACGACCCCCCCCCCCTCTAATTACTTAGTTAAAGTGAATGCCAATGTACGATGTGACAAACTTCGGCATCGTCCCTTTTTTATTGTAATAAAACAAGTAATACTAATTATATTGCAGTTACTTTTAAGAAGACATTGTAATCGATATATGCTGCCAAATATATAAGGTGATGCTTTTCTCATAATGATATAACTTGTTCGTCGTTATTCAGCATGCGCGTCGATTTAATTTCGCTTAGCATTATCCACGCACGCAAAAGTACACACGTGGTGTGTTCCCTCCAGCACGACTTTGGGATAGGAAGTAATAAAAGGACTAACCCTCGCGTCTACATTTTAATACATATATCTGTATTTCGTTTTATGCTACGTGTTAAATGCTACAGAAAAAATAAAGGGCAGGCACGAAGAAAACCACAAATGCAAAAATTCACTGGAAATGACAAAATACATTATATATGTATAAGTTAAAATATATAGTATATATATATGTATATATGTGTGTATATATATATACATACACACACACACATATATATAGTATGTATATATATAAAAGTAATATCACCTATATATCTCTCTTGAATTAACGTACTAATCATTTTACAATCCAACATGCGTCGCATTGCACAAAATATAACCCGATGTAGTAACGGAGAATGGCAGTTATCCACTCTCCTCCTTCGCAGAACACGTTACTTAAAGTGAAAATTATATTTTTATATGTCATTTTGCTTTTGTACTTTTTTTTGATTAACATAACATGCTAAAATGATACAGTTAATTTCGGTAAACACACAAGTGGTCGAGCCTTCTCACGATAAATTCGAGACACAAATGTCCGTACTGATTACTTGTAGATACGTATAACCGGCCATAACGATTTACGATGGTATTGTATGACTGTTGCTTACTGTAGAGTACTGCTTCATATTGTACTATATAAGAAGATTACAGCTGCACAATGTTTTATATCTAAAATAATCTAACATTCTTAATATTACATATTATATAGAAACAGGGGGGAGGATATATACCGATGTATATGCAAGTGGAGAGATTAAGGAAAAGAAAGAATTACGATATATAATAATCGGAAATTCGAGACAAATGTAAGAAGCGCGAGAAGCCTAAAAGATTATGCGAAACAAATTATGCTATACATTTGTAAGTATTACAAATCTCAATTCATAAGACTATTGTGATGCAATTTCCAGTGTCGTATGTTAATGTATCGTTGAAGTGTCTCGATATCTGACGATGCTGAGACAAAGTTAAATTTGTACAATTTGAACAATGATGAGTTACACGTATGTGTACACTTATATAATATACATTTCCCACACGCAACAACTGCTAATATGATCTGCAAAAATGAGAATCGCAATTACATATCCACATACTCTCTCTCTTCCTACGTAATAATGATGAAATTTCGCGAATCTCGGAGAAAAGTCTATCGGTGTACGTGACGCGCAAACTAGACGGATAAATCCTTAAATGTAGATTAATAGTCAGAGTATATATTTATCCATATATATATATATATATATATATAT